TATGGCCTAGTTTTGGATTTCTAGGCCACCAACTTCAAATGGCTGTAACTCGCTTCAAAATAGAGATTTTTGAGTTCTGAAAGTGATATGGATTTCACAAAACAAGAGCTTTCTAACGGTATAAGAAGCATGGCCTAGCTTTTTTGAAAATTTGGATTTCTAGGCCACCAAAGTTTAAATAGCTATAACTCGCTTTAAAATGGAGATTTTTGAAATATGAAAACTGGTGAGAGTTTCTCAAGGCAAGAGCTTTTTGAAAATATATAAATTGGTTACGACCCAGATCTGGGATTTCACACATTGGAGGTTGGTGGCCTAGAAATCCAAATTTTCGAAAAAGTTAGGCCACCATAATATATAGTTTTGAAAAGCTCTTGTTTTGAGAAATCCATATCAGTTTTCAAAATCAGAAAATCTTCTTCTCAAAGCGAGATATAGTCATTTGAACCAATGCGGCCTAGTTTTGGGTTTCAAGGCCATCAACTTCAAATGGCTGTAGCTCACTTCAAAATTGAGATTTTTGAAATCTAAAAACTAGTATGGATTTCTCAAAACAAGAGATTTCCAATCAATGCATATACCGTGGCCTAACTTTCTCTGACTTTTGGGTTTCTAGACCACAAACTTTAAATGGCTGTAACTGGCTAAAAATGGGTCTAAACTAGTTCTGACCAGAAAAATGGCGGAAAACCTCTGAAAATAGTGAAAAACGCGGGAATTTCAAACGGAAAAATTCCAAAATCCACTTTCCAATCCAAATTATCTTTCAGAATCCGGCAAGAAGGCGCATCACTCGGCGATCCCGATCACCGTCCGTCAACTCGAAGCCATCGTTCGTATCGCCGAGAGCTTGGCGAAAATGGAGCTGCAGCACTTCGCGACGGATAAGCACGTCGAGGAGGCGCTCCGTCTGTTCCGTGTGTCCACAATCGAAGCGGCTGCCACCGGAAACTTGGCCGGCGTCGAGGGATTCACGTCGAACGCCGATCAGGAGGCGCTGAATCGAATCGAGGTGCAGATGAAGAAGCGATTCGCGATCGGAACTCACGTCTCGGAGCATTTGATCGTTCAGGACTTTGTCTCTCGTCAACACTACAAGGAATCGCTCGTCAAAAAGGTCATTGATAATCTCGTCCGTCGTGGAGACTTACAGCAGAAGATGCAGCGGAAAATGCTCTATCGTGTTCGCTAAGAAATGTTGCTTTCTCTTGGTCCATTTTTGACCTTTTTTGGCCTTTTTTTCACCCTAAAATCCTATTTTTTGAGCTAAAAATCCCCATTTTCCCCCCTTTTTTGTCCCATTTTGACCCATTTTTGAGCATTTTCCTCTTGTTTTCTGGCTTCAATGCCATTTCAATCGCATTCTACGTACCTTTTTCACCCTAAAAACCCCATTTTTGGTCCTTTTTCGACTCATTTTGACCCATTTTAAGCGAATCTGAAAATTGCTCATTTTTGAAGCCCCGCCCCTTTTTAGCCCTTTTTTTTTGGCTCATTTTATCCTGATCTCCCCCCTCTTGCTTATCATTAATCCTCGATATTTTCATTTTTACCATTTTTTTAAATTGAAATTTTTGATCTAAAATTGCTGCTGTTAGTCAAATGAAAAATTACCGTACTCTGAAAATCTGAAATTTTGAAATTTGCAATTTTTAAAAAAATTCTCTCTCCTCCTTTTCTCTCTCTCTCTCTCTCTCTCTCTCTCCTCTCCCGCCCACCCTTTATCTACGCCCTGCGCTCACTTGTTTACAATGCGCCGCGTGGTGTCGTGGCAACGCTTTTGACTTTCAGTCTAGAGGCCAGGGGTTCGATCCCCACAGGTGCCAAACCCCTTTTTTCTTCTTTTTGCTAAGTTTTTAGAGGCAAAAAATGCAATTTTTCAATTAAAAAAGCAAATTTCAGAGTCAAAAATGGTTCATTGGGGTTAAAAAAGGCAAAAATAACTTCAAAAAAAAAAATGCGAGAAAATGCAATTAAAAATCGGGCTCCTCCTTGACTTCGAAAGCATCTTCCTTTTCAATTTTGACCGTTTTTCTCGATTTTTTCGCCAATTTTTCCACTTTTTCGCCGGTTTTCGCTGTCGAACTGGGACAAGTGAGCCGGCAAAGACACGTGGCACACTTTGGGCGGACTGGCTGACAGAGCATCTGTCCAAAGCCCACGAGGAGATGATTAATCGGTTGCCATTCGCTTCGTGGGAGAAGAGATTCCAGGGCTTTTTGGGTCTTTTCGGGGGTCGTGGTTTTGATCCAGCCTGGAAAAATTTGAATTTGGCGCCATTTTTCGGGTTTCAAACAAGAAATACAAACTTTGAAGAAAGTCACACTTTCCCCACGTCATGGTGTTTATACTTTTTGAAAAGCTCTTGTTTTGAGAAATCCATACCTTTTTCAGAATTCAAAAATCTTCATTTTGAAGCGAATTACAACGGTTTGAACCAATATGGCCTAGTTTTGGATTTCTAGGCCACCAACTTAAAATGACTGCAACTCGCTTCAAAACGGAGATGTTTGAGTTTTGAAAACTGGTATGGATTTCTCTAAATAAGGGCTTTCCAAAAAGTGTGAATACCATGGCCTAACTTTTGCAAACAATTTGGATTTCTAGGCCATCAACTTTTCAAGCTGCAAAAATCGAAATTTTGAGAGTCTTTGACATTTTGGACCATTCTTGAGCCATTTTAGGCATTTTGCAGTTATTTTAGACGATTGTGGCGAAGATATAGCAATTTAATGTTGGTGGCCTAGAAATCCGAATTCCAAAAAAGTTAGGCCATGAGGTATGTTTTGTTTTCAGAAATCCATACCAGTTTTCAGAATTCGAAAATTTCAATTTTGTAGCGAGATATAGCCATTTGAACCAATGTGGCCTAGATTTGGGGTTCTAGGCCATATTGGTTCAAATGTCTGTAACTCACTTCAAAAATGATATATTTGAAATCTGAAAACTGGTATGGATTTCTCAAAACAAGAGCTTTCCAAAAAGTATAAATACTCGGATACCATGGCCTAGCTTTTTTGAAAATTTGGATTTCTAGGCCACCAAATTGAAATGGCTCTAACTCGCTTTAAAATGGAGATTTTTAAAATCTGAAAATTGTTGAGAGTTTCTCAAGACAAGAGCTTTTCAAAATATATAAATTAGTCATTGTCTAGATTCACTAAAATCTGGGATTTTACACATTCGAGGTTGGTGGCCTAGAAAACCAAATTTGTGGGTAAGTTAGGCCACCATATTGTATATTCATTGGAAAGCTCTTGTTTTCAGAAATCCATACCATCTTTCAGAGTTAGAAAAATTTTGTTTTCAAGCGAGTTACAGCTATTTGAAGTTTGGTGGCCTAGAAATCCAAATTTCCAGAAAATGCTAGGCCATGGTATTTATATTTTTACTTTTGGAAAGATCTCGTTTTGAGAAATCCATAACAGTTTACAGATTTTGAAAATCTCAATTTTGAAATGAGTTACAGCCATTTGAAGTTGGTGGCCTAGAAACCCAAAACTAGGCCATATTGGTTCAAATGGCTGTAACTCGCTTCAAAATTGAGATTTTCTGATTTTGAAAAAAGGTATGGATTTCTCAAAACAAGAGCATCCCAGAATATATAACAATCCAAAATAAAAAATTCCAAAAATAAAAAATCGATACCCAATCGATTGGAAATGCGATGAACATGTGTGTCAACAGCGATGCCCTCACACTTTCCCCACGCGATTTGCATCACCAAATTCGCCATTTTCGGTCCGACGCCTGGCAGAGAGCACAGGCCATCTAGGGTGTCTGGAATGTCTCCTGAATAGCTGTCTTCTAGAATTTTCGCCGTTTGTTGGATATAGACGGCTTTGCGCTGGAAATTTTCGGGGATTTTGAAGGGGAAAATGACCGTTTTTAGGCAAAAAATGGCCTATTTTAAGCCAAAAAACTTACAATTTTGAAAATTAGCGTTGGTGGCCCAGAAATCTTAATTGTCGGAAAAGCTAGGTTATAGTAATTATATATTTGAAAAGCTCTTGTTTTGTGAAATCCATATCAGTTTTCAGATTTCAAAAATCTCTATTTAGAAGCGAGTTATAACTATTTGAAGGTTGGTGGCCTAGAAATCCAAAACTAGGCCATATAGGTTCAAATGGCTGTAACTCACTTCTAAGTAGAGATATTTGAGTTTTGAAAACTGATATGGATTTTTCGAAATGTGAGCTTTCATAGAAATATAAATATCATGGCCTAACTTCTTTGAAAATTTGGGTCATGATATTCATATGTTTTGAAAAAGCACTTGTTTTGAGAAATCCATAACACTTTTTAGATTTCAAAAATCTCCATTTTGAAGCGAGTTACAGCCATTTGAGCCAATGTGGCCTAGTTTTGGATTTCTAGGCCACCAAACTTCAAAACGCTATAACTTGGCTCAGAATTGACATTTTTCGAATCTCAAAACTGAATTGGAATATTCAAATCTTGCTTTCTTTGGCCATGCGATCTTCTTTTCTCAAATCGTGGCCTAACTTTATCGAATCTGGGATTTCTAGGCCACCAGGTTCAAATGACTGTAATTCGCAAATTTTCAAATTTCCCGAACCTTATAAAACCCGACTGGACACAAAATCTTCTCCAAGTCCGACACTGGAAACGCCCGAATCGTCTGAATCGACAGTCCGTGATCTTTGAGTCGCTGAAAGATTCAAAATTTTGAATTTCGCGCCAAAAATTGGTTTGACGCCAAACTCAAAATTCTCACTAACTTTCATCGCGGCGGCGTTTACTTCGTCACGAGTTTGACTGGAGAGCATTAGGGCGACGAGCACTTGGAAACGATGAATCTGAAAAAGGTGGGAATTTGAAATATGTGGACATCTGGATATTCGGAAACACAGAGAACACTGAAAGCTAGTGGCCTAGGAACCCAAGTTTTCAAAAAACCTAGGCCAGGGTATTCATATTTCTGGGAGAGCCCTTGTTTTGAGGAATCCATACCTTTTTTCAGAATCAAAAATCTTAATTTTGAAGCGAGTTACAGTCGTTTAAAGCTGGTGGCCTAGAAATCCCAGATTTGAGAAAGTTAGGCCACGATTTGAGAAAGTCAGGGCAGATGAACGAGAATAGCAAGATTAGACGATTTCAATTTAGTTTTCAAATTCGAAAACGGGCAATTTTGAAGCGAGTTATAGCCGTTTGAACTTTGGTGGCCTAGAAACCCAAAACTAGGCCACATGGGTTCAAATGGGTGTGACTCGCTTCAAAATGGAGATTTTTGAAATCTGAAGAGTGATATGTTTCTCTCAAAACAGGACCTCCCCAAAATATTTAGACAAGATGGCCTAACTTTTTTGAAACTTTTTTGAAACCGCTTCGATATGGAGATACTTGAATTCAGAAAATGGATTTCTTAAAACAAGAGCTTTCCAAAAAGTATGAATACATAAATACCATGGCCTAGCTTTTCTGGAAATTTGGGTTTCTAGGCCATCAACTATAAATAGTTGTAACTTGGCCAAAATAGGTCTAAAATGGTCTAAAAAGGCTCATTTGTTTTCAAAATTTCACGTACTTTTGGCTCTGCCAATGGATCGGCAAGCTTATGGCATCCCATAGTGTCGACTGGCGCCACCATATCGGCTCTCATTTTTTGAATAAGCGCCACGTCGCGGCGCCACGTGGCATTTTCAGAATTTCCAGAAGAATTTCCAGAATCTTCAGCTTTGACAATTTTGGATTCAGAAGAAGAAGAAGAAGAAGACGATGACGTGGCAATCAGACGCTTAGGCATGTTTCGAAAAAATCCGGAAATCCGGGAAATTTTTGGATTTTTTTTTCTGAAAAAATTTTTTTTTTCGAAAAAATTAAAGATAAAGAAAGATTTAAAAAAACAACAAAGTGATAATAAAAAGTTTTGATAAGAAGAATGTGGTGCTCCGGCTCTTTTATCTTATCTTTATCAGATTTTTTCAGGAATTTTTTTTCAACGTTTTTTTTTTTTGAAATTTTCAGCATGAATTTCAGACTTTTTGACTGAAAATGTGTTTATTTTCTGAAATATTTTAAGAAATGCAACATTTTCAAAAAAAAATTTTTTTCCTAAAAATTTTTTTTTTTTTTAATTTTCAGAATTTTCAAAATTTTCCAGATGAGGAACTTCTGGATTCTTGTAATTCTTGGATTTTTGGGTTACGGTATCCATGGATACCGTATACTGGCACCGGTATCGCATTATAGGATAGAAGCGAAACGATTGGAGAATTGGCCAAAAGTGAGAAATTTCATAAAATTTGGAATTTCCAAAAGTTTTCGAAATGTTCTGAAATCACAGAATTTTCGGGAAATGTGAGATTTTCGAATATTCAGAAATTCTGAAAATTCGAAATTTTCCAAATTTTGAAATTGTTGAAAATTGTTGAATTCAGAATTTTCAATGTTCTGGTAACTTGTAAAGTGGACATTTTCAAAAATTTGGAAATTATGAAAATCTCGAAATTTCTCAAAGATCAGGAAGTTTCGAAATTTTGAAAAATGTTAAATTTCAGAATATTCTCTGGAAATTTCGCAAAAATCTGGATTTTCAGATTTTTCGGAATTCTAAAACTCTGAAAATCGAAAATCTGATATTTTGAAAATCTGAAATTTCAAAATATTGAAAAATCAAAAGTCTGGAATTTTCAAAAAAAAAACAGAAATTTTGGAACTTCCGGAAATTCCGAAAATCCGGAACTTTCGAAACTCTTAAAATTAGGAAATTCCAGAAATCTGGAATGTCTGAATATTCAGAAAAATCAGAAACCCTGAAATTTTCGAAAATCTGGAATTTCAGAATTTTTGAACTTTGAAATTCTGAAAATTCAGAAATTTTAAAATTTTCGAAAAATTCAGAAATCTGGTATTTTAATTTTCGAAATTTCGGGAAATCCAGAATTTCGAAAATTTAAGATTTTTTGAAAAATCCAAGATTTCAGAACTTTTTGAAAATTCTAGAATTTCGGAAATCCAAGATTTTCAGGCTTCTGAAAACCTGAAACTTTCGAATTTCTAAAAATTTGGAATTTTTGAAAAAACGAAAATTTGGAATTTTTCGAAACTTTGGAAGTCTGAAATAATCCAAATTCCAAAAATTTTCAAATCATCGATTTTTCAGAATAACTCCAGAATCCATGAATTTCAACGACACCTTCGTGAGACCCTTATCGATGCGTACATCGATAACACGAACAGTATCGATTGGTACAACCGAGGAATTTCAGAGTCGAATTTTACGGTAGTTCAAAAAATCGATAATCGATTTTTCCAATTTTCAACTTTTCTGGAATTTTTTCAGATATTTCGCATTTTTAGGTGATTTCAGGTCGTCAAATCAATTTTTATAGAAATTGGACAATCTTGAAATTTTTCGAAAAAAAAAGTCAAAATTAAAAAAAAAAATTTTCAAACTTTGCTTTTTTTGAAAATTTTTTTTGATAATTAGCAATTCTAGCCGATTTTAGGTAGTCATATCAATTTTTATGAGAATCGGAAAATTTTGAAATTTAGTTAGAAAAATCGATTATCGATTTTTTCCAGGCAGCGATCTACGGAATTCGTATCTCAAGCACCAAGACTCAACGCTTCTGTGGTCATTTGGCGGCAAGCAAGCCTATTTTAAAAAGTGGCATTTATTTCAAGCCGTCCAAACTTGTCCCAATTCCAGTGGCAAAGTTAGTAGATCAAAAAAATTCAGTAGATCAAAAAGCGTGTTTTCTTGCAGTTTCACATTCCAAATTCCTTATCGATTGTTCCAAAGTCAAAGTGTGAAGGCTCCAGTGATTAGTATTTGCTATGAAGGTATTTGAGCATGATGGCCTAGAAATTCCAGGTTTTGAAAAAGTTAGACCACGAAAGTTAGGCCACGAGTCACATGGACAAAAAGAGCAAGGATTGGCGACTCCAATTCAGTTTTTAGATTTGAAAAATGTCGTTTTTGAGCCGAGTTATAGCGATTTGAAGTTTGGTGGCCTAGAATAACAAAACTAGGCCACATAGGTTCAAATGGGTGTAACTCAGCTCAAAATCGAGATTTTTGAATTCTAAAAATAGTAAGAACTCTTTGAAACACGAGCTTTCCAACGATATTTGTCTTGGCCTAACTTTTTGGAAAACTAGGCCAATTTTAGAGCTCTTCCAGGCGATTCCTTCCTGAAAATCGTCGATCTGGAGACACGTCGACCGGATTGGACCCCGTTTGATAAGGAATTGGTGCAGTTTGAAATACAAAACGCTTACAATGGTCGGTGTAAGATACGGGAGATACTGATAGGTGCGTTTTCTAGGTCATGAGCTAGTTTTTTCTAGGTTACGGCCTAGATTTTTCTAGATTTTTCTAGGTCACGTCCTAGCTTTTTTCTAGGTCACGGCCTAGTTGTTTCCAGGTCATGACCTACATTTTTCTAGGTCACGGCCTAGTTTTTTCTAAGTCACTTCCTAGAATTATCGATTTTTAAGAGCTCGATGGCTCTTGGAATAATCGATATCAACGGGAAATGAATTATCGATCGCTGGTTGTGATTCATAGTGATACGGTGCGGAAACGTATTACTTGGGATGGTGATTGTGATGAGACAAAGGGAATGTAAGTTATTGATAGCGAAAAAATCGACTTTTTCGAGAAATATCGATTTTCGCTTTAAAAAAATCGACTTTTCCGGAAACGATTGATTTTCGTTGAAATTATCGATTTTCCGTGTCGGAAAATTTCTAACAGCATCACAGCTAGCTTCTTTTGGAGCGCCAAAACTTCGTTTATCGATTTTCCGACAAATTATCGACTTTTAACATAACAGCCGACAAATTATCGGATTTCTACGAAATTGTCGATTTTCTGTGTCGGAAAGCTTTTGGAAGCATCGCAACTGAATTCTGACGAGTTAGAAAAACTTTGTTCATCGATTTATCGATTAATTATCGATTTTTCCGGAAAAATCATCGATAAATTATCGATTTTCGCCGGAATAATCGACAGATTATCGTTTTTTTTTGCAGGAATCAACCGTGCTGCCTCTGGAAATTCCACGTCAGCGACCCGGATGGAACGCCTCGAGAGTTCCGTCGCTGCTTTGGCTCCGTGCCAAGGGAATCGACAAAAAATACGCTGGTTCCCGAAAAATTAGCGGATTTATTGATTTTCGGAGGGCTGACTCGGCGATTCTTGAGTATTGAGAATCAAGTGTGTCGTGGCATCGAGTTTCGACCGTTTTATTTGCGGAAACCCGATGGGACGGTTGTGGTAGGTCAAATCGATTTTTTGGAAATTTTTTTTTTCAAATTTTGATTTTTTCGAAATTCTTTCAGATAGTTAGCATTTATAGGCGGTTTTAGGTCGTCATAACGATTTTTATCGAAATTGGACGTTTTTGAAATTTTTCGAAAAAAATTCCAAAATTTAGAGAAAATTTTTTTTCAGAAACTAAACAAATTGGACACCACAAAATGTGCAGCATTTTACTGAATGCAAGCTCCGATTCAAAATTTCGAAAATTATCGATTTTTTCCAATTATCGATTTTTATGTATTTCCTTCCAATTATCATATCTTTTTTCCTCTGCAGTTGTAATTTTATATATATATCTCACAACTCAATAAAACGTGACAATTAAAAAATATAAAAAAATGCAAAAAATCAATATTTCACAAATTATCGATTTTTACTAACTTTGCTCTACTAACACCTCCGTCTACCAGCAATTAACATGAAACAACTCCGATCACTGATTCGCGTTCGATTGACAAAGTAAGCTGGAAAAATCGATAATCGATCGGTATTTCAAAAAATCGATAAATTTCCAGATACTTTCCCAGCGATCGATACCTCAAAAATCGATGTTCCGGCGCCGACGGCGTACTAATCGATATGGAGAGACGAGCGGAGCGAGCTGATGATTATAAGATTTCCAGTTTTATGAAATTGAGAAATAGGTAAAAAAATCGATAAATTATCGGTTATCAGAAAAACAACGAGCGATTTTGCTGAAAATCCACAGAAATCGATAAAAACCAAGTTTTCGAAATTTCTCGAAAAAAGGAAAATCGATTTTTGGAGAAAAAACGAGAAAATCTATATTTCTCGAAAAAAAAAATCCGATAATTTCCAGCAAATTCGCTCTACCGAAACTGCTAGCCGACCCAGTCACCAACGACACGCCCAACCCATGGCTTCCCCGGCTTGTCGCCGAAAAATCGATCGATGGAATCGTAATTCGAAATTTCGAGAATTCCGAAGATCAAGAATCTTGGGAATCCAACATTTTGACGATGATTTGGGACCCCCGGGAGCGACGAATCACTCATTCGATTATTGGGTCAGAGGGGTTTGAGGGGAAAATCGATAATTTCGATTATCGATTTTTTTGGAGGAAAATTCGATAAAAATCGATTTTTCGCTGAAATTTTCGAATCGGTGATTGTTAGACATGAAATAGCAAACATCTTTTCATGGAAAATTTCACTAACTTTCCATGAAAATCGAATATTTTCGAAGAAACCAATAAATTTCCAAAAATCGATTTTTCGCGAAATTTTCGAAAATTTTTCAAATCGGCGACTGTCAATTATTAAAAAGCAACCATATTTTTTATCGAAAACTTGATTAATTTCCAAAAAATAGATTTTTTTCCTAATTTTTCGAAAAAATCAATTATCGATTTTTCAGCTATCACCGAATCAACGACGGCGATATTCTATGGAATAGTAGCATTCGGACAGCTGTACAAGGATCCCTAGAAAACGACATTCAGCCGTTGGCGGCGAGAACGCTGGTTTTCAGGGATATCAAGACGTAAGTGCGCTCTATTGAGAATTTGCTGTTTTTGAGGTTTTTCGGGATTTATCGATAGAGCGCGGTTCCCTAATTTTGCGAAATACGAAGGAAACGCTGTTAAAATTCATAGTAAAGCGAAAAAATACGAATTTTGAATAAAAATTTCGAAAAAAAAAAGTTTTTTGAATTTTTGATTTTTACCAGTATTGCATGAAATTTATACTTTTTAAACCAATTTTCAGCCATTTTAGTCGATTTTTAACCAATTTTTTAAAAATTCCGAAAAATTGAATTATTGCTTTTTTTTCAGCGCCACCCACGAATTCAAGATTCTTCGACAGATCGGTTTCACCGGCGCCGTGATTCGGAATCCGAACCTTATTGATATGACTAACAAAGTTTTTGAAAAATAAAATATTTTTTGAAATTTTCAATTTTCAGAATTTTTGAAAAATCTTAAATTTTCAGATTTTTTTTCTCATTTTCAGACATTTCCAAACGTTTTCAGATCGTAACAAGATTCGAAAAAATGTTAAAAATCAATAAAAAACAGTTTTTTCTCAGAATAAAGTAGATCAACATTTACAAACAAACAAGCAAAAAATCTATAATTGATGAGCCACCGTACCCAGAAAAAAGTTAATTTTAATTATTAAAAAATGCCATATAAAAATTGATAAATTTTGAAGAATTCGAAAAATGGGAAAATGCTAAAAATTGAATTTTTGGGCAATTTAAAAATTTAAAAAATTTTGCAAAAATTATAAAAATTAGAGGTATACTGTAATTGTGATGGTGGGGAAGAAGTGAATTGGGATGGAAAAGGCGGGGGATGAGCAGGGGGCATTGTACAGTAGGTCTTTGGGGAAAATTTTTTTTTTTTCAAAAATTTTGAAAAAAAAATCCAAAAAATCAAAATTTTCAAAATTTCAAAAAAATGCAAAAAAGAAGAAAATGGAGAAAATTGATTTTAAAAAAAATGAGAAAAATATAAACAGTTTTTTTTTATTTTTAGAATTTTCTGGAAAAAAATTTCAGAGTTTTTTTTTCAATTTTTCAAAAAAAAATCCAAAAACGTCTGAAAATTTCAGATTTTCGCAAATTTTTTTGGAAAATCTAAAAAAATTTTGTAAATTTTCAAAAAATTCCAAAAAATTGGTAAAAATGGGAGAAAAATGATGAAAATACTGAAAATCGGAGGAAAAGGATGAAAAATTCAACATTTCGAAATTTCTTTTTCAAAATTACAGATTTACAGAAAATAATTTTTTTTCGAAAAAAAAAATCCAAAAAATCAAAATTTTCGAAAATAGAGTGCTAGAAAACTCATTGAAAAGCTGAAAATCAGACGAAAAAAAACGTTTAAACATTCAAAATTTCGAAAAAAAATAATCTGACAAAATAAAAAACACTGAAAATCGACAAAAATCGATATTTTGATTTTTTTTTTGGAAATTTCAAAATTTCACTAAAAATGTCAGATTTTCAGAAATATTTTTCTCCCGAAAAAATCCAAAAAATTATTTTTTGAAAAACTAAAAAAAGTGATGTTAAAAAACACTTAAAATCAGTTCAAAAAATTCAAAAATTTGAAAAAAAAAAGAAAAAAAACCGAATTTTCAAAATTTTGAGCAAATGCAAAAAAGAGGAAAATGGAGAAAATTGACAAGTAAGGAAAAAGGGGGCGGAGTCTAAGGGAACAAAAAGGGGCAGAGCTTAAACCAATGAAAACAATCAATAATTTCCATGATAACCATCATCCTCAATCTCATCCTTCACTTCTCGCTTCATTTCTTCCGTCACTATTCTCATCCTCTCATGAACTTCAGCCATTTTCGACAGCTCATTGATCTCTTTTCGAATCTCCTCATCGCTTCTTTGATCTACCGTACCTTTTTGATCATCTACCGTAGTCGTCGTGCCCATCGATTTTATGTCCTCCAGACTCATGTTTGACACCGATTTACATGCCAACCAATGGGAGCGCAGCAAATGGTTCTTGAAACATTTTCGAGACGCGAAATTCAGACGACAGAATGGACATTCTCCGACTTCGGCTGCAAAAAAAACCATCTTAAAATGATCTGAAACGGTCTAAAACAGCCCGAAATAGCCTAAAATAACCCAAAAACGATCCAAAAATCGCTATAAATGGTCACGAAGTTGGTGGCCTAGAAAACCAAATGTGGCCTAGAAATCAAAAAAAAGTTAGGCCATGGTATTTATATGTTTCGAAAGCTATTGTTTTGTGAAATTCATACCACTCTTCAGATTTTGAAAACCTCAATTTTGAAGCGAATTACAGCCATTTAAACTTTGGTGGCCTAGAAACCCAAAACTAGGCCATATTGGTTCAAATGGCTGTAACTTGATTCAAAATTGAGATCTTTGAAATCTGAAAAGTGGTCAGAACTTATCAAAACTCGTTATATTCCATACTGTTGGCCTATTTTTCTATAAATTTGGAAAATTAGGCCATCGAATTTCCAATGGCCTAGAATCCCAAATCGTTGAAAAGTTAGGTCACTGCTCATACACTTCAGAAGCTTGTGTGTTGTGAAATCTATACCAGTTTTTAGATTTGAAAAATCTCCATTTTGAAGCGAGCTACAGCCGTTTGAAGTTGATGGCCTAGAAATCCAAATTTTCGAATAAGTTAGGCCATCATAAATTATATTTTTGAAAAGCTCTTGTTTTGAGAAAATCAAAACAGTTTTCAAAATTTGAAAATCTCAATTTTGAAGCGAGTTACAGCTATTTG